CTTGGAAAACAAATGTAAGGCAAGGAAAACCCCCCTAGACTGTGCAGCAACAGCAGGATTTTTGTGTAAATGCTGTTTAAATGAGGAAATGCCTGCTGGGTGAGCAGTGTCCAGGGAGCTCAGTGGTGCCCTGCACATGCTCTGCTGTGGCTGCTGGTGCCTCCTGCTGTTCCAGAGATCCCAGCAGGTCCCTGTTGGAGCACTTGGTGCTGCTTTCCCCAGAGAAGGCTCAGTCAGAGGCTGCTCATGAGCTGTTCTGGCTCCTGGATAACTCTGGGGTGAAGTCCCTGGAGTGTGTGGTCTGAGACTGGGGGTTCAGAAGCAGCCTCTGAAGCAGATTTCACTGGTTGTGGTGTAACAGCAGGGAGTGAAAGCCCAGGGAGAAGGAGACACTGGAATAAGGAGGACAAAACCTCCTTTAGGAGTCTCTCCTGCTCCCCTTGTGCTTCTCTGAGCCTGTCCTGGGGAGGTGGCTGAGGGTGAGCCTGACCTACATTTACAGCAGGAAACTGTGATGAGATGGGAATTCAGTGTTTGAGGTCCTGTGGGCAGGCTGGGAGAGCTGGGGGTGCTCACCTGGAGAGGAGAAGGCTCCAGGGAGAGCTCAGAGCCCCTGGCAGGGCCTGAAGGGGCTCCAGGAGAGCTGGAGAGGGACTGGGGACAAGGGATGGAGGGACAGCACACAGGGAATGGCTCCCAGTGCCAGAGGGCAGGGATGGATGGGATATTGGGAATTGGGAATTGGTCCCTGTGAGGGTGGGCAGGCCCTGGCACAGGGTGCCCACCCTGGATCCCTGGCAGTGCCCAAGGCCAGGCTGGACATTGGGACACCCTGGGGCATTGGGGGATGTCCCTGCCATGGCAGGGGTGGCACTGGATGGGCTTTAAGGTTCCTTCCAAAGCATTCCATGATTCTGTCATGTAGAATCAGCTGTGCTGATTTCTGAGGCTTACAGCAAAGCAGTGGTTTTGAGATGATCAGGAAAATGAGCAGGATGAGAGTGTGAACATATTTCAGGAAATAACTTCAAATGTGATTGGATTTCCCTGTGGAGGTGCCTTAGAGCATGGGTGATACTGGAGTCTGCCCTTGCCAGCTTTGAAGGGCACCCTCAGCTCAGTGTTTGTGTGGCTCCCTGCTGGGTTTCAGGTGGATAATCCAGTTTGGAGACCTGTCCCTCACTACCCTGAGTGTTTCTGGCCCTCTCATGATGCTGGATGCTTCCAGCCAGGACAGAATGTCACAATGTCACAGGTGTCACTCCTATCCTGCTTGGCTGAACTGGGGCAGCTGTTGGGCTGCCAGGATTGCAGGAGTGCTCTGGTTGGGCTTCCAGGATTGCAGAAATGCTCTGGTTGGGCTTCCAGGATTGCAGGAATGCTCTGGTCCCAGGGCTGGGCTGCTGGGAGCTCCCTGAGGATGCTCAGGCTGGAATTCTGTGTGCCTGGGACATGGGGATGGTCCCAGTTCCCTGCTGGGCTCCTCTGCCTGGTGCTGTTGGAGCTGTCAGACAAGAAGTTGAGCTTTAGGAGGGACAAGGCTGCCCGGAATGGTGCAGAGCCTTGCTGGTAGAAAGAAAATTCTTAAGAGAAATGCCACAGGCATCCCTTGTGCTGGTTAAGGGTTGGGAGCAGAGTGTGAGCTTGGCTTGTTCATTCCTTGCCGTGCCCTGTTAGCTTCCAGCAGAGCCCCACAGTTTTAATTACAGATCCTGTGTCAGCAGCAACTTCCCAGCAGCATCCAGAGCTCAACCTTCGGCTGTTGGGATATCACCAAAACCACAGCTGTGGAGCTGGCAGGCAGAAAACATTTTATTATCTCCTTCTTCACCTTCTTCTCTTTGCTCTGTAGATAAAGCTGTCCTGTGAGCCCTTGCCGGGAGATTTGTTGTTTAAATCCAGGGAGATTTGGTACAGCTGTTAAAAATTGGGAGCATCTTTCTCTTGCACAGCCCTGGCGTGCTGAGCAGCCTCCTGCAGCTCAAGTGGCCCTTCAGCAGTACAAAGCAGGTCTTTAAATTATAATTTGCTGCTCTTTTATGGCACTGCAGTGTTGTAGCTGCTCTGTCAGGCTGTAGAATCCAAGTCACTGAAAACCAGACTCCAGGAGTTTTAGACTGAAGCCCTTTTAAGGAACTGATGCTGCAGATTGTCTTGTCAAACTCTCTGTGTTTAGATTTGTGGTGTTAAGGAACTGAAGCAGCTTTATCAGTCAAAAAAGGGAGAAATGCTATAAATAATATTTTTAAAAGAAAATCTTTCAAGATTTTTGCAAAACCTGTCATTATGAGTGGCTGTGATACAAGAGCTGTGTTGGGCTGGTGAGTAAGGGTGGGTGATGGAGATGCCAGAATTTTCACCAGTCTGAAATTCCTATTATTCTGTTGAAATAAAAGAGGAAAATATATATTCAGAGCAGGAACATGTGCTGGCTTGGACAAAATCCACGTGGGAGCTGGGGCCTGTGCATCCAGAGGAGGTTGGACAGCTGAGATGGGATCTTGCTGGCATTGTGGTAAAAATATCACTGATTTTGGGGTAAGGATTCTCCTCTCTGATGATCTTAGCACATCCACAACAGCACTGGTGTTGCCACAAGCCTGATTTTGGGGTCAGCCATGAATCTGTCCATGGTTCCTGCCCTGCTCTGTCTGGAACTGGATGCCAGGGCTGGGCAGGGCTGATCACTCAGGGCTTCCATGGAGAATGTCCTGCTGCTTTGGGATCCTGCTGCTGGCAAAAGGGACATATTGACGTTGATATGATGATATTTGCCATCCCCTGGCTGGGTGGGTGGGTGCATTTGTCCTCCCAGTGGCATTTTGGGATATTTTTTCTCCCTGGTGTGTCCTGGCTGGGCAGCATTGCCTTGGGCTGATCACTCAGAGCTTCCATGGAGCGTGTCCTGCTGCTTTGGGATCCTGCTGCTGGCAAAAGGGGCACATTGATGTTGATATGATGTTTGCCATCCTCTGGCTGGGTGCTTTAGTCCTCCCTTTGGTATTTTGGGATATTTTTTCTCTCTGATGTGTCCTGGGTGGGCAGGGTTGCCTTGGGCTGATCCACTCAAGGCTTCCATGGAGAATGTCCTGGTGCTTTGGGATCCTGCTGCTGGCAAAAGGGATATTGATGTTGATATGATGATGTTTGCCATCCCCTGGCTGGGTGGGTGGGTGCATTTGTCCTCCCCGTGGTGTTTTGGGATATTTTTTCCCTCTGGTGTGTCCTGGCCAGGACTCTCCAAGGCTGTCATTCCCCCCAGCCTCCCATGCACAGCTCTAATTCTGGCGCTTCGAGGGCGAATCCCGGCGGGTTTTGCTCCCTCGCAGAGCTAAAAAATCCCAGAGGTTTGGCTGCCTCCACCTCTGGGTGCCCAGGTTTAACCCCCAGCCAGGTTAAACTCTCCAAACTCAGCGCTCCCAGTGCTGCGGGAAGGGCAGAGCTGGGATCTGCGGGATCAGGTTACACCAGAGCCCAGTGCCAGCCCGAATGAGCGGATCCAGCTGACCACGAGGGCTCTGAAGGGCACCCCTGCTCCTTTGCCCGGCTCTGGGCACAGGAGGTTGGCTCCAGGCTGGGTCAGGTGGCTGCCTCGTGTGTGGGTGCTGATTGATGGGAATTGATTTCCCATGCAGATTGGCTCTGGAGGGGAGCTGGGAGAGAACGTCTCTGTTTCCCTGGGTGGGAGAGCGAGGCTCTGAGTGTCTGCAGCTGATTTAGTGCAGTCACCTTGGGGACCTTTGCTTTGGGGAGGAGAGATGATTTTAGCACCTCTCTCAAGGTGGGAAGGGATCCCTCCTGGGAGCACAGTATGTGCTGCAGCGTGAAGGGATGACTTAGGAATGAAAATTGGGTTTTGATTCCTTTGGGGCCAACTCACCCCTGCAAAAAGGTTAACCACACTGTGCACTGGCTCTGAACTTGCCCTGTGGTGCTGAGAGACACAAACTGTAGGTCTTTAGGAGGCACCAGGAGGATTTCATGTCCTCATGTCAGGCTTGGATATGGCCCTGGCATAAATCTGTCCCACTGAGCAGGTGAGAGATGTCCTTGAGATGTTTGGGGGTTTGGGGATTTTCAGTTCCTGGTCAGGCAGAGTGGCCTCCTCTGTGTACTAAGCAGCCTCAGGAGTCAGCTTGGCAGTGGGTATCCCTGGAGTGCTGCCCATTCTAACCTGGCAGGGACCGTATCTCTGTCCCGTGGTGAGCTTGATCACCAACACTTTGTGAGAGCAGCTCTGAGCTGTGCCTCTAAGGCCTCCCTGCTCTGATGTTCTTGTGGAATTACAGAGTCACTGAGGTTGGAAAAACCCTCTGAGATCATTGAGGGCAACCATTAACCTGCCACTGGCAAGGCCACCACTAATCCACGTCCCCAGGTGCCACATCCACGCAGCTGTTCCATCCCTTCAGGGATGGGCACTCCAAGCCTGCTGTGGGCAGCTGTGCCACCCTGACCACCCTTTCCTGACCTTTTCTATCAGATGCTGTGAAGATCCACTGACACAGGGAAGAATGATGCACAGAACTCCATGATATCAGAAGGCTAATTAATTACTTCATTATACTATATAACTATATTACACTAACAAGAACCATCACTAACTAACTAGAAAACCTGTGACTCTGCCTGAAAGTCCTGACACACACATGTGGATCCAATTGCTCAATGAATCTAAAACACCATCACCAGAATCCAATCAAGCAATCACCTCGGGTAAACCATCTCCAGAACACATTCCACATGGGCACAAACACAGGAGCAGCAAATGAGATTTTCTTTTGATCATTCTTTTCTCTGCTTCTCTCAGGAGAATCCTGAGAAAGCCAAATCTCTATTCAGAGGGCATGAGAATACCACACCTTTTTCAGCTTTAGTGGATTACAAGTGAGTGCTGCCAGCTCTCCACTGGTCTGTGCTGTGCAGGAGGGTGCCTTGGAGGTGTTTTGGGGTCGGGTACAGCAGCACTGACCCTTCCTTGTCCCTCTGTTCCCGTGCAGGACTCAGGCAGAGATGGCCCACACGTGCCGGGGCACCATCAACCTGTCCACAGCCCACATCGACACGGAGGACTCGTGCAACATCGTGCTGTCCAACGGGGGCAGGACCTACCACCTGAAAGCCAACTCGGAGGTGGAGAGGCAGCGCTGGGTCACGGCCCTGGAGCTGGCCAAGGCCAAGGCCATCCGCATGCGCAACAACCAGTCAGGTATGGGGTTTAACCAGTCAGGAATGGGGTTTAACCAGTCAGGTATGGGGTTTAACCAGTCAGGAACGGGCATTTAACCAGTCAGGTATGGGGGTTTAACCAGTCAGGAATGGGGTTTAACCAGTCAGGAATGGGGTTTAACCAGTCAGGAACGGGCATTTTACCAGTCATGTATGGGGGTTTAACCAGTCAGGAATGGGGGCTTAACCGGTCAAGAACGAGTGTTTAACTGGTCAGGAACGGGCATTTAACCAGTCAGGCACAGGGGTTTAACCAGTCAGGTACAGGCATTTAACCAGTCAGGTATGAGGATTTAACTGGTCAGGAACGAGTGTTTAACCAGTCAAGTATAGGGTTTAACTAGTCAGGAATGTGGATTTAACAGTCAGGAATGGGAATTTAACCAGTCAGGTATGGGGATATAACCAGTCAGGTATGGGGATATAACCAGTCAGGCATGGGGGTTTAACCAGTCAGGAACGGAGATTTAACCAGTCAGGAACAGGGATTTAACCGGTCAGGTACGGGGATTTAACCAGTCAGGTGTGGGCGTTTAACCAGTCAGGAACGAGGATGTAACCAGTCAGGAATGGGGATTTAACGGGAGTTTAACCAGTCAGGTACAGGGATTTAACCAGTCAGGTGTGGGTGTTTAACCAGTCAGATACGGGCATTTAACCAGTCAGGTATAGGGGTTTAAC